TCAGAAGAACCCAGAACTTTGAAGATCTTTGAGGGTAATCCATACTTATGATATAAGCTGAGAGAATTGCATGGAGGGCATCTGGCTAGGGCTGCTTACCCCACTCTTCTAGGCCCCCTGTTTCTTGGTCAAGAATGAATGAGGGTTTCCCAGATGTCCAAGCAGAAGCCCAGGGAGCCAGGGACCAGCCTTCTTAGCCAACTCCCTCTCTTCTTCGACCACATTACAGAGGCCCTAGCCACCCAAACATTTTTTCTTTACTTACACTAGTATGAACAAGTGTTACAACTTCTCCAAAGGGAAGAAAGTATGGGTGCTGCAGGAGAATTGGCACCTACCAAAAAGTGACACACATCTCAAAGCTATATAGAGATACATAGAAATATATAGACATAGTTAGACCCCAGTTTTAGACTATAATGGATGTAAAATTTATGAAAATAGAAATTAATGTTAAAGCTCCTTATCCCTTAGCTTTTATTCTTACCAGTGTCTGCATTAAACAATTTATCAGTCAATCTAAGTATATTTGGCTCTAAAATCATAAAATTGGCTCTTAATTTTTTAAAAAAGATTTTTATTTATTTATTTGAGAGAGAGCGAGAGCACATGAGGGGGGGAGGGTCAGAGGGAGAAGCAGACTCCCCGCTGAGCAGGGAGCCCGACACGGGACTCGATCCTGGGACTCCAGGATCATGACCTGAGCCGAGGGCAGTTGCTCAACCAACTGAGCCACCCAGGCGCCCTGGCTCTTAATTTTTAATACTAAAGTTTTCTACCTTACCAAAACAGTAACTTGTAAACCTATGTTCAAATCATCCAAAGACTTCTTAACCAAAGAAGACATTTGTCTCCATCTTCAGAGACACTGTCAGAATATTCCCCAGAGGCGAGGTAGAAATTTCCTGGAACACAGTCAACCCTTCCCCTGTTCCCAAGCACTGAGTTTATTTCTAAATGGCAGCATTGAGAGAGCTTGGTGGACTGGTCCAGCTCCTCTGGATGCAGAAATAATTTGTAGACCATCAAAATTCTCTGGGAGGTGCAGGCCCCACTTGAAAACAGTCCTAAATCCCAGTAGACCCAAGCAATCCCCCTGCCCCACAGCTTCCCCCTACCGGAATCACGGGCCCACAGGATGTCAGAAGGGGACTGGACCCTCCAGGCCACTTGTCCCCTTCCACCCTTCCCCACTCCCAGGCACAGACAAGTCAAGCTGTTTGCATTGATTCCGGTACCCCAGTCACCTGGGACTCAGCCCAGAAATTGTGATTCCGTTGATCTTGTATGCAGCCAAACATCAGTATTATTTTAAGCTCTCCAAGTGATTCTAATATGCAACAAAGTTTACGGACCACTGCTGTATGCCAGACCTTTGCCAGTTTTCATCTCAATCTAATTTTAGCAGGTAAAGGTGTGGAAGAAGACAGGCCAATGGAGCGTGAAGGGCACTTTACTCCTGGGTGCAATGTCATGTATAGGCAAGGTCATGTATAGGCTGTGGTCAGATGAGAGGTCATCTGACCTCTCTGGGCTCAGTTTCCTCATACATAAAGTTAAATGGGCGCATTCAGTGTCAGAGATCTGCTCCACTGTCAAGTTCTGGGCTTTATCCTGAGGCCTAAAGCCCTCAAAGGATTGCTGTCACCTGCTCCGAGGCTCTCCCTCTGAAGCAGGGTTAACCTGGCTTGTCCTAGAGGCCATTTGAAAAATCTCTGCTCAAAAATACTTTCCCACACACCTTTTCTGGGGCACAAATCTGGGGTTAGTAAGGCAAGAGAGTCTCAGAAGCCCAAATGGCCTTTAGGACAAGAAGGGCTTGGACCGGAGAAAGCTGTGTATGGGAAGAGAGGTCAGTAACAGTAACAGAGATTTCACTAGATGGACTCAATGAGCGAGAGAAAAGATGAGACTGAGCTTCCTGAGGGCAGTGACAGACTGAGCTGATAGAGCCCTTGTCCCTGGGATGTCTCTCTCGTCAGCTCATCGGTGGTTCTACTTCTATCCATGAAATATCTTGTGACATACAGGTCAGTAGCGACTTTCTCTTTCTCCTGAATTGAAAGCTTGTTTCCAGTAAATAGGAAGGTGTCTCCACTTGGATCGAGTGCATCTTCTAAGTGCATCTGGAAGGTGTCCAAGGCTCGGAGCTACAGTCATCATCGCATGTCTCTGTGATGATTGCACTGGGTCAGGGACTGATGGGAAAATCAGTTCCTTTCCAACATTTGTACTAATATGTCCCAGTCTCCATGAAGGCTATGCTTGCAAAGAGGGAATATGAGAGGTTATATTTCTCTAACGAGACCATGGCCTTGATATAGAAGTGAGGGACTCCTTAACCACATATGTGACTGCAGTGAGCTAGGCCATGTTTTAGACACAGGTGGGAAGGATGAGTCAGAGCAGATACTCAAGGTGTAGTTGGGGAGGCAGGTATGTCAGCAGGTGAGTTCAGTCAGCCCAGGGTTCCGTGTGCTGGCATGAAGTCTGTGCAGGATTGAGGGAACAGGAGAAAGAGACACACTTCTACAGGACTGGGCCTGAAGGGACAGTAAAGAGTCACTTTTGCTTTTATTTTTTTTCCAATTTTAATTTTGTTTTCTTAGAATACAGCTGAATATTTTGTAAAACTCTAAAAAATATAAAGAAAATACTTCTCTTCATCCTTGTTCCAAACCACCCATTTTTGCCCCTTTCTAAGTAATCTTTGTTCTGAAACTGGCAGTAATCTATAGAAAGTTTTGTTCTCTTAATTTTTTTTAAGATTTTATTTATTTATTTGACAGAGAGACACAGTGAGAGAGGGAACACAAGGAGAGGGAGTGGGAGAGGGAGAGGCAGGCTTCCCGCTGAGCAGGGAGTCCGATGTGGGGCTCGATCCCAGGACCCTGGGATCATGACCTGAGCCGAAGGCAGACGCTTAACTGACTGAGCCACCCAGGCACCCCAAACTATTAAACTGTTATTAAAAACAAGAAGCCGAGGTGCCTGAGTGGCTCAGTCAGTTAAGCATCTGCCTTTGGCTCAGATCACGGTCCTCAGGGTTCTGGGATTGAGTCCCACATCGGGCTCCCTGCTCAGCAAGGGAGTCTGCTTCTTCCTCTCCCTCTGTGTTTTCTCTCTCTCAAATAAATAAATAAATAAATAAATAAATAAATAAATCTCTAAACTTCACTTCCCTTATAAAAAACAAACAAACAAAAAATCAAGAAGCCAGCCAGAGCCATACAAGATCCAGGAGCTCACATCCTCACACGCCAGTGTTACCGAAGACAGCGCCCAGCCAGAGTAGGAGCTGCCAGCGCTCCCTTTCCCAGAGCTCACTGCTCAGCAGCACCAGGCACTGCAGATCTGTCCAGCTGCTCAGTGCTAAGTTGGCTGATGTTCCTGAATTTGATCATTGGGAAAGTATAACATCACTGCTGATTCTCCTGCATCTTAAAACACACCAAGTAAGGCCACTTGAATATTGGGAAAAAGAAAAGTTTTGTGAATCCCTGAAACTACCCAATGCATATTTGTGAGTTACAGGAATCTGGGAGATTGAAGCAAGCAAGAAAGAAGTTGTGCAAAGCTGTATTCAAATTAAAATCATTTAAGTTGCTTTCAGCTCCTTGTGCCAAAATTCTGTAAACATTTATCTTCTTTCACACAAAGTGTATATACCTGGGAGGCAGAGTTCCAGGTTAAGATTCAAAAGGTGCAGAGAAATTGTCTGAGGTTTAGGAAGCTACTCAACCCTTCTGAGCCTCAGTTTCCACACCTGTAAAATGGGGATCATAGGCCTACTTCATGGAGATGTTAGATATGTAAAAATGTCTGTCAGTGTCCATGTTACCAGCAGAGTATATTTCAAAATAGATGAAAAAGATTATATCAATGAGACCAAAGATGAGGTGCCCAGCCTGGTAAGTGGCCCCATTCGCATGAGAATGAGGGGAGCTACAAATAACTAAGATTCTTCACAGCTTCATTGGAGAGGACAAACACGAGAACTACAAATAGGTAGCTATCGTACTTACTGCGCAGTGACTTTATGTAGTGAGGGTGAACTCCCTAAAAACACTGCAAGATACAGAAACAACCAAATGGCTCCTAGGAAATAACAACAAAGCAATCAGTGCAGCAACTAGGAATGGGAACGGGGTAAGCAAAGTGTCAGAGCCACAAAATCTAAGCAGAAGACGCTAAACCCCAATGAACACCCAGCCCCTAGCACATTCTGGGAGTTGTAGTCCTGCAGCCCTGAAAGCAGCCGGCTGGGAGCGACTGAGAGACTACAGCTCCCAGCATGCCCAGGGAGAGGCCTTTCACCTCGCCCCGCCCCTCCGCCTCCCAGGGGCGGTCCCGCCACGCCCGGAGGAGCGTGGATCTTCCCCAAGCCCCGCCCACAGGGACACAGCGCGGCCCAGCGGGCCCCGGACAGCCTGACTCGCGCTGTAATCGTGATAGAGCATCCTTACGAATTGCCAATGGCGCCACTTGTTGTGGTCGAAGCCGGATTTCTCGCAGGCCGGCCCATCTGACAGCTTGAGGGGAGTTGGCCATCGGTACAGCCCAACCTCCACGACCCAGCAGACCCCGCCCTTCCCACCGCCTCACTCCCCGCCTCTACTAGCCTCGCCCTCCGAGCCACGCCCCCTCGGACATGCGCGGTGCCTCCGGGCCGCGCTCGTTGAGGCGGCCCTCGGTGGGTTTGGGGCTTAGGGACTCGCGCGGACCTGGCGGTTGGTGACGCTTCTTGGAACCCGTGCGGAAGCTCTTAAGCCGGTATTTGAAACGTAAACTCACCGGCTACGATGGAAATACTGACCTGGAAACCTGGGACTTGCCTTTTCAAAGCCACCTTTCTCGCCGTCACCTCTGCCACTCGGGGCTGCCATAATCGTCCCCATGGACCCTCGGTGGTGTGGCTCCCCGCAGAGTGCCCCTGAACCCCTGGGCTGGCTGAACAGCTTCTTAGAGGGACTGACTGCCCAATGCGGTGTTTTGGAAAAGGAGAAACATGACAGTGGACAGGCCCAATTCTGCATAGTACAGATGGGAAAGTCAGGCGGGCAGGTCAGTAAGCGCCTAATCCCCTTGGGGGACCACGCCCAAGCCACTTCTCTGACTCCCCTGACCTATCCTGGCCCCCTTGGCCTCATTCATACAGGGCAGCAGGACCACAAGCTCCCGTTAGTCCTTCCCAAAAGATCAGGGAAGTTTGTGGAGGAAGGTAGTACAGCAGATTCTGCCCTACTGCCCGGCTCCTTTGGAACCCCTTTAAATATAACTTTTTAAATATCCCTTCAGAACCACAAAATAATTAAACAATTTGTTGCTGTTGGGGATTATAGTGATAATTTTTTTAAGTCGTTTTCCATTTAGTTTTTCTGATTAACTCCAGTTACTCCATCACTACCCACGTCTCAAATTCACTTAAGCAAAGCTCCAATTCTGTGCAAGAAGGATGCAAAAAGAGCAAAATATCCATGGTACAACTTTCTGGAGCATCAATCCTACTGCCAGATTTGGAAGAAATGAAGTTAAGTAATTTCCAAGGTAAGTAATTAAAAACTTGAAACTAAGACAAAGCTGGAAAGTCATATGCCATTAAGTGATTGTTAATAGTCTATGCCTGAAATGTCAGGACTTTCTCTGAGAACAAATTCTAAGGAGGCCTTATTTCCCATTATTTTAAACAAAAAATTATAAGGCATAGCAAGTCCATCAAAAAACCCTGCCAATTTTTCAGTGTCTGGCTGGCTCAGTCACAAGAGCTTGCAATTCTTGACTTCTGGGTCGTGAGTTCGAGCCCCATGTTGGGGTGAGAGTTTACTTGCTGTGAAAATGTTGGGGTTTGGAGTGAACAGTCAGAATTCTTGAGGTTTCTTCGGTGCAAAAAGGGTGGTTTTATTAAAGCACAGGGGATAGGACCCTTGGACAGATCTGCACTGGGTTCGTGAGGAGTGGCTGGTTATAGACTTCAAGTTGGAAGGGAGTTAAGGACAGTGTAAGTCTAAGAAATTTGGAAGCCAGGTTTTCAGGACCTTGAGGGGTTAGCTGTCATTAGGAAAAGGGCATTTACTACTGTCTAGGAAAACCTTAGTCATGAGACCCATCAGATGTCTATCAGTGGGCCATATGCTTGGAGGATGATTGCTAACATATCTTGGCGAGGTGGAAGGAGGTGGTAGTAGAGATATAGGCAGTTTCCAAAGGAATTTTTATATATTAAAGAAGACTTACAAGATCCTGGACGTCGGGCTAATGTTAAGCTAAGATTGCCTTTTGCTTCTAGCAAGTAGTGAGTTGAGTTCTTAGAAGAAGGTCACTCTGCCTGTCTCAAGGACTTGCCAGTGGGCTGTAAGTTGTAAGGAAATTTAATTTTTTTTCCTTATTTCTTTTGCCTTTGTTCTCCACATCATATTTAAAAAATAAAATAAAAAAAATACAGTTGTTAGCCTACAGTTGCTTTTTGTGCAGTAGCAGTGCCGCGTTGACAGACCAGCGGCATCAGATACTGTACATCTTGACGACACTCCACAGATTTGCAAAGTGACTAGTGTGATTGATGGTCTGCTGATTGTATTTGAAAGCAACATGAAACTTTTCCTTGTTTAAAGTATATTTTTTGAAGACTCAATTTGAACTAGAGAGAGAAATGACTGCTATGCATTTCAGGTATTAAAAATTAAAATCTTCCTCCAGGAAAACATTAATTGGGGATATATTCTGTGGGCATGCCTGTATCATGAAATAGATGGCAAAAATCCCATTGATTTTTTTTTAAGATTTTCTTTCTTTATTTGAGAGAGAAAGAATGAGACAGAGAGAGCACGAGAGGGGGGAGGGTCAGAGGGAGAAGTAGACCCCCGGCCGAGCGGGGAGTCCGATGCGGGACTCGATCCCGGGACTCCAGGATCATGGCCTGAGCCGAAGGCAGTCGCTTAACCAACTGAGCCACCCAGGCGCCCCAAATCCCATTGCTTTTAAAGATTAAAGTTATAATTTAGTAAAGTTGGGGCTGAGAAGGCCTTTCAGATTCTGACCCCAGAGTTCTGCAGTCCTGTGTCAGTAGTGATCCCTTGCCAACCTCGGCATACAAATGTACCCTAATGTCGTATATTAAACACAGACCTCCTTTGACCCCCGGGTCCTCTCCATTTCCCATTCTTCTGTGCTCCATTCAAGCTACCTCTCCTCATCTTCTCTCCTAAACCCATTCCAGTCCAGCTTCACTCCACACCACTTCACCGAAATGGCTTTCATGGGGGTCACCAATGATGGCCATTTTACTGAATTCAGGTTTAAGTTTTTGTTTTCTCAGTCTTTTAGCTGAAACACGATTGAGCACTTCTTCCATCTTAAAACACTTTTCTCTGGATTTGCCCTCCCTCCAGATTCACTCCCGCCTTACTCTGTCTTCCTCTTATTGCTCCTCCTCCACGAGTTCTCTGGGACCCTCAGCCCCCTTCTTTTTCCTATGGGCCCGCTCTTCTTAGAGCGAATCTACAGAGGCTCCCAGCTTTGAATGCCATCTACCTGCTGAGCACCCCCAGGCCTGGGTCCTCTTTTCTGAGGGGAGCACTCAGGAGTCATCATTGGCTCTTCTTCCCTTCTCATGCCACATGCAGTCCTCCAGCAAGTCCTGTTGCCATGCATCCTGATTGCGGCCACTCCTCACTGTCTCCATTTCTACACCAGTTTCAGTCACCCTCCTCTCTTAACTGGTCTTCTGCAAAGACTGCCTCCTAACCCAGCTCCCTGCTTCCCCTCTTACTCTCCTACAGTCCATTCTCCAGTCAGCATCCAGAATGCTCCATAGAAAACATGAAAGACATGATATATATTAACCCCACACCCCCCCCCAACTCCCCCTTCACTCCCTCCCGCTGGCTTCTTGTTGCAACAAAATAAAAGCTTAGAGGGGCGGGGAGAAAATAAAATAAAATAAGTGCTTAGATAACCAGATAACCTGGCCCCTGCCTACTTTTTTGGCCTCATCTCCTATCCTTGCTTGTTCGTACTACTGTGTGTCAGATTTTCTGGTATCTAGAGCTGAAAGCCGTCTTAACTGAGAAATATTAAATCATAGAATCTAGAGCATGGGAGGCACGAAAGGAAAAGTCTTAAGAGAGAATGAAGGTTAAATGATTAAAAAAAAAACCCAAAATATGCAAAACAATAAAAGTATTACTGATCTGTATCTACCCAAAAGAATGTAGTAACAAATAACAAAGTGAATTTTTTTTTAACAAACCAAGACAACTTACAAAGAAATAGAAATACCTTTCATTATATTTTGAAAACAAAAAGATATATTTAGTAAATATAAAAGGACAAAAATTTTAACATCTTACAGTTCTGGGCCATAATGCAATAAAATTAGAAATAACAGAAATAGGGAATTTAAAGATGCTCAACTCTTTGAAAATGTTAAAATATTCTTTTAAATGAATTAATGCCTGGATCAGGGTGCAAATCCAAAACACAACTGCAGTGCCTATAAATACACGCGCTTGCAAATATAGCATACCTGGATATATGCAGTGGCGATCAGAGAGCTCTCTGACCCAGAAGCTCCTGTGGTGACCAGGTTATGTTCATCCTCCTAACTCTGCCCTGGAGTCATTTAACATCATCTCATTACAAGTGGGAGCCACAGTGAAGGCAGTACTAGGAACTATAACTATTACAGGTACCTGAAAAGTAGGACTCCCTCCTGCTGAGCCTGACCTTGACTTCAGGATCCTTTCCAGCCAAGGCTCCAGGCAACCACCACCAATGGGTCTGTGTTGTGTACAAACTCAAAACTGCCCTCCAACAGCAGGCAGCCTGGAAACTGGCACCAGCAGCTGCCATGGAAAAGAAATGATGGCCCTCAGAAGAATACGTGACCCGCCTCGCATGAGGACTCAGGGTCCCATGAGTTCTGGTCGGGCCTCAACTTCAAATCTGCCTCATCCCCAAAACATTCCTGATCCTTGGGACACCTGGGTGGCTCAGATGGTTGAGCATCTGCCTTCAGCTCAGGTCATGATCCCAGGGGTCTGGGATTGAGCCCTGCATCAGGCTCCCTGCTGCGTGGGAAGTCTGCTTCTCCCTCTCCCTCTGCTATTCCCTCCGCTTGTGCTCTCTGGCTCTCTCTGTCAGATAAATAAATAAAGTTTTTAAAAAACAAAAAAAATTCCTGATCCTCACCCTAGCTGTACCTAGTGTCTCTCCCCCTCTTCCAAAATACCCCTGCAATTCTTTCTTTGTAACTCCCTTGCAGGAAAAAGGGAAAATGCTATTTGTGGGGAACGGTCAAGTGCCAAGCACTATGATAACCAAGAAAGCCTATGCCAAAGGTTTGCACCTCAACCTAGAGGACATGCCAGAAAAGAGCTTTCAATCAAGAACCCTTCCAAAACTCTTCAGTGACCTCACCAAGCAGTGTGACTCTGGAAAAAGCTCAAATCTCACCCTAAATGAGATGCCTATTCCCAGTGCCTGAGAGGACAGAGGCCCAGAGCACACTTGTGGCAGATCCCCTGGGCAGAGGTATGACCCAGCCGTTCAGGGGTGAGTGGGTGTCCTCAGGCAAGTTCTAATTAACTCGTACCTGAATAAAAAGGATGGGATAGGGAAGGGGGCTCTTGAGTCTAGTAAGTGAATTTTAAGTATACAAGAGTTCATCTGAAAGCCATCACCCTACATTTGCTCTCTAGCTCATAAGACACGAGGCTCTTCGACATGAGGCAGAAGAGAGTGAAGGCCACCCTGCTAGGCACCACCCTAGATCTGTTTAGATTTGGATCAGTCTCTAACACCAGGGGGGCCCACTTGTGTGCTAAAGGACCTATAAGGCACTATCCCTGCAGCTAAACAGGGCTCCAGAAAACCTTAGTGTTTCCAGCACTCTGGGAAGCTTCATCTTTTTTCCTAACATTTTTTGAGGTAGAGTTTGTACTCAGGACTTAATGCAGAGAAGGATTTGGGGAACTGCAGACAGGTTAATTCACCCAGAGCTCTGAAGATTACTTCACAAGTGGTTGGTTGTCTCATCTCTTATCCTTTAATTCAGAGACACAGTGTAACAACCTTGAAAGGATGTCAAAACCAGGACTGCGGAGGCCCCAAGCCTGAGTCACGGGAGGCCATAGAGCCGGGGTTCAAAGCACAAGCTCCTGATACAAGCTTTGCCACTCACCAGCACCGTGATTGTACAAAGTGCTTAACCCCACTCAACATTCATTTCCTAGTGTGTTCAATGGGCACTTGTACCTAAAAGGAATTGAAATGGTCTAGAAATTCTGGGGCTTGTTATTTGTTGGTGTTAGTATCACTACTATCAAACCTGCCCAAGGGACTGACAACCCTGTGTTCTCTAAGACAAACATGAGTGACAACCAGTTGAATCAATAATCACCTCCCACAATCCAGCTTTAAAAGCAACTCAGAAGGGCGCCTGGGTGGCTCAGTCGGTTAAGCGTCTGCCTTCGGCTCAGGTCATAATCCCAGGGTCCTGGGAGTGAGTCCTGCATCGGGCTCCCTGCTCAGCAGGGAGTCTGCTTCTCCCTCTCCCTCTGCCTCTCCCCCTGCTTGTTCTCTCTCTGTCTCTCTCGCAAATGAATAAATAAAAATCTAAAAAAAAAAAAAAAAGCAACTCAGAAAATGGATGTTAAATGCCTCCCCATTAAATGTTTCTTTATTATGTTTATTTCTACAGCAGTATCTCCCCTCCCTGACAAACATGGAAGAAGAGACAGAAGAGCAGGAGGAAGAAGTGCCCCAGGACAACAGTCCAGTCTCTGAAGATTCATCCAGCTTGGGACAAAGGGCCAGCCTCTCTACTTATCTCTCCGTTGGCTCCCAACCATCCTTTAAGCTCACCAGCATTTTGGATTCAATGCGTTTGAATGCTGTGGAAGTGCAGGTACTCCCTTGATTTGAATCCCATGCAGAGCACCTTGGCAGTCCGCACCTGCTAGCCTCCCCTGCACGCAGGCCTCGGCTCCCCTGCGCACGCGCCCTAAGCTCCTTGCACCACTGCCGTCCCTGCAGCTGTCGCCTCAGCCCTGGCTCGGCTCCCACACCTGTCGCTGGGCTCTGTGGAACTCAGGATCTTCTTGCTCCCTCTTTAAAACCAGGCTTTGGTTTTATCCCTGCCTCAGCTATCCACCATGTGAGCTTTCGCTGGCTTCACTGTGTTTGAAGGGCCACACCAGTTCTTTCTGGGCAGCCTGAAACACGGGTATCCATCTGAGTAGGAAGTTGAAGAAGCTCCGGACAGTCCCCTGTCAGCCCTGGCTGTTGCCAAAGGGAGAGGCTGGGGTCCCATCACCGGGCCACCCAGGATGGAGGGAGTTTCCGTTGTAGGATAAACCCCGAGGGCAGATGGTTCCATGTGGGGCTCTACCACATGGATGGTAGATGCTGTGGGTAGAGGGGAAGCCCCAGGGCCACGTTGGGGACTATGCTGGGGAATGGGGGGGTCCTTGTCTCCAGGGTTGGTGGGCGACTGGCAGACACTTTGGCTGGGCTGCTGGCCTTCCACTGACTCCCAGGCCACCCCAGGCCACCGACTTTCTGAGTTACAGAATACCACAAAGGTGGGAATGATGGGCTCACCAAAACCGCATTTCTTTGCGTTGGCAGAGACCCTAGGCTGAAGCGTGCAGGATGGGGAAGGACAGCAGCTGTTGGTAGGATCAGCTGAAGGCAGGGGCTTCACAGCAGTGGTCCACCCCTCCACCTTGGGGCTCTTGCAGCCTAGGATCAGGTAGTTGGCCATCACGTCGTCATAACTCCAGCCCATCGGCAGGTCCTGGATCTGGTGCCACCCGTAGCCCATGGATAATGTCACCCCAGTTCTGCCAGGGGTCCTTGTAGCCCAGGGGGTGGCTGGATGTAGGGCTTTAGTTCCTCTTCATGGACCATGTTCATCCAGGGGTCCTTCATGGTTTCCTCTAAAGCGCTTCTCTCACTGGGATTGAGGGTCAGGAATTTCTCTAGTAGGTTTTCACATTCCACAGACATATAAAGGGGAATGCAGTATATTCCGCTCAGTACCCACTCCCACAGCTCCCGAAGTCCTGTAAAGGCAGGCATCTGCTGGTCACTGGACAGTCATTGTATAGAGGATGGCTCCAGGCTCCACACGGCCACTGCGAGGCTGTTGTACTTTTGGCATAAGGGGGACTACCACAGAAGGTGTTTAGCTTATGGCCAACAGTGAACTCATTGCTGAAGCCAAAGTCTACAACCTCGATGTTCAGGTCAGCTTCCAAAAGTAGGTTCTCTGGCTTTAGATCCCTGGGGACGATACCCTCCTGGTGGTGGTACTACACAGTCAACACTATCTGGCAGAATCTGCCTCCGGGGCTGCTCCTTTCTCATGCAGGCATGGTCCACATGGTCCAGTGGGTGATCAAGTGCCTATAGTGTACTCCGTGACCAGGTAGAGTGTTTCCGTGGTGTCAGTCACCTCGAGTAGTTTCATGACTCGAGGGTCGTGATTCAGGGCCTCCGGGCTCTGGACTTCAAGGAATAGTCTGTGGAGGCTGGAGGAGCTCTGCTGGCTCTTGTTAATGACCTTCATGGACGCTTCTGTCGCACTTAGGTTGTGCCAGACCAACCTCACTTCGGCAAAGCCGCCCTGGCCAAAGGTCTTGAGGAGCCAGTGGTTGTCAATGTGGGTCTCCTGGTCGCAGGCATGGCTGTGAGGTCCCGCAGCTCAGCAACTTACAGCTAGCAATACTAACTAGGAATGCCCCCTAACAGTACTAACAAACTACATAAAGATGAGAAAAAAAGAAACAGAAAGAGAACAGAGAGGAAAAAAGCTAACTGTGGTCCAAAGTCCCTCAGCTCACCAAACACCAGCTCACTGGCCTAAAAGAACTAAAAAATGTAGGCCTGGCCAAGGGCTTATACAGAGAGGTACTTAGGATTCTCTCTTGATGGCTCTTCTTGAAGTCGGTGCAAGAAATGGACCTGTTAAGACCGGGGATAATTCACAATGGTCTTCTCACTTGGGTCTCAGGAACCCTTTACTCTAAGTAAAGGGGGAGGGGAACACCCCCAAAGGCCTTTTTGTTTATGTGGCTCATAGTGATTGATATTTACCTTACTAAAAATTAAGGATGCTTTGGTGGCCTTTTCATGTCTAGTTTGGAAATCTGTAATAATTTTTGGTGTTTAAAGAAAGCCATGATGTCTATACTTCAAATAATTCAGTTCCTTTTTCTTAAAACTCTGGCTGATCTGTGTCAACATGAAACCACAGTTTAACTGGCTCCACAATAGCCATTGACAAAGACTCTCCTTGACTAAACTTTAGTCATTCTCCTCTAGGCCTGGACCTTGTAGTCTGTCCTTGGCTATCCTGCACCACCCAGTTGTAGCAAGAATCTTGTCAAGTCGGTTTAGAGAGAACTCCCCACCCTCAACATCTGATAATATTCTTCATCTCCCCCCTTTGGTATCTGTGAGAAAATAAAACATATATATTGGTGTCTGCCCCCGGTTCCTGGCACAGGCTCCTGAAACCCTTAAATTGTTCTTGTTCTAATATTTCATCTTGTTCTAATATTTCATCTTCAACCCCAGCTCCTGACACAGGACTCCTAAATCTTGTTCTAATATTTAGGAGCATCTCTTGTTCTAATATTTCATCTTCAACCCCAGCTCCTGACACAGGACTCCTAAATCCCTTGGAATTTCCTGGGTGGTAAGAATGTCTTGTTCTAATGAGGCAACTCTGGAGGGGCTCCTGGATGACTCCTGGACAGAGACTGTCATCAGAAAGGCCAAACCATGATTAGAGCTGGAATATTCATGTCCATACCACTGCCCCCCACCAATCCTCAAGAGAGGGGAAAGGGGCTGGAAATGGAGTTAATGATCTACATGAGGAAGCCTCCATAAAAATCCCAATATTAACGGGGTTCAGAGACTCTCCACATGGATGAACGCATCCACATTGGGAGGGTAATGCACCCCAACTCCATAGGGACAGAAGCTCCTATGTTCAGGACCCTCCCAGACCTCGCCCAGTGTATCTCTTCATCTAACAGGTCATGTATCCTTTATCACATCCTTTAATAAAATGGTAAACGGAAGTGTTTCCTGAGCCCTGTGAGCCACTCTAGCAAATGAATTGAACCTAAGGAAGGGGCTGTTGGAACTTCCACTCTAGAGCTGATCAGTCAGAAGCACAGGTAATAACCTGGACTTGGATTGGCATCTGAAGTGGGGGAGGGGGGGCTGCTGTGTGGGTCTGAACCTTAACCTGTGGAACCTGATGCTATCTCTGGACAGATAGTGTCAGAACTGAGTTGAATTGTAGGACACCCCACACTTTTGGTGACCAGAAGTGAAGTGTTTTGTGTGAGTAGTAAGGGAGACTCACAGGAGAAAGACTCAGGGGTGGAACGACCGTGGCTTTTCCTTTGTACAGCATCTGACCACCCTGGCCTGCCTTCAGCAAGAATCCTGCCAGGTCTGTTTAACTAGAATCTTTCTATTCCTGAGGTTTCCTCTTAGTAATTTTCCATCCCCTAACCCTGACCCTCCTCTTTGGCTATAAGTCCTCATTTTGTGCTGTCCTAGGGATGGGGTGCAGTTCTATACTGAGGGCTCTTTTTCCCCTGTTGCAATAGTTTCTGAATAAAACCTGCTTTTATTGCATTAACTACTACTGTCCAGCTCTGGTTCTTCTTTTTTCTTTTTATTTTTTTTTCTTCCAAATTGGTTTTTCTTTAACACTGTAGGGAAATATTCTGTTGCATATGATGCAATAAGGTATGTTATCAACTTCTGTAAAGCTGAGGGGAAGATAGCTTTCATCCTATTTTTATTTCTTATTTCCAAATTTTGCCCAGAGTCTTTGGAGTAGATTTCTCCCTTCCATGAGCCAGAGAACTTGCTATGTCCATTGCAGTATCTTTAAATTAGAGGTTGCAGGGCGCCTGGGTGGCTCAGTCATTAAGCGTCTGCCTTCGGCTCAGGTCATGATCCCAGGGTCCTGGGATCGAGCCCCGCATCGGGCTCCCTGCTCAGCGGGAAGCCTGCTTCTCCCTCTCCCACTCCCCCCGCTTGTGTTCCCTCTCTCGCTGTGTCTCTCTCTGTCAAATAAATAAGTAAATCAATCTTCAAAAAAAATAAAAATAAAAATAAAAAAATAAATTAGAGGTTGCAGCTGTGGGTCACGAAAGCAAGTCTTCTTTATTTTTTTAAGCCCACAGAGCCATCATGCTCCCTGTCCATATCATTCAGCATGGGCCTGGGGATCCAAGTATGGGCTTGGCATCAAGATGTGAGGGGAGGGAGAAGTCCATTTATTCCTTCTCTAACACTCTCCCTTTCTTCATGTAGATTGGAGTTTCTTACCTATATAATTTTCCTTCTCTCTGAAGAACTTCTTTTAACATTTCTTGACAGGCAGATCTACAAAATCCTCAAATTTTGTTTGTCCAAGAGAGTATTTTTCCTTCATTTTTTTTTGAAGGATATTTTGCTGGACACAGAATTCTAGATTGGTGGGTTTCTGCAGAGAAGTCTAGTGAACATCTTATCTTTGTTTCTCTATAAATAAGGTGTATTTGCTCCACCTGGCTTCTTGCAATTCAAGATCTTCTCTGTGTCTTTGATTTTTCTGCAGTTTAAATATGATATGCCTAAGTGTAGACTTTTTTTGGTATTTGCTTATGATTCTTTGAGCTTCCTGGTTGTAGTTTGGTGTCTGTCATTCATTTTGGAAAATTCTCAGCCATTATTACTTCATATATTCCTTCTTTCTTGTCCTTTTGTATTACAAGTATGATTACACTTTTATAATTGTCCTACAGTTCTTCGATATTCTGTTTCATTCTTTTTTCTCTTTGCTTTTCGGTTTGGGGAGTTTCTAGTGACATATCTTCAAGCTCATGGATTTTTTTTTTAGATTTT